CAGGCCCGGCACGGCCCGAAGGTAGAACACGGCTCGTTACTCATAGCCATAGCCATAGCCATAGCCATAGCCATAGCCATAGCCATAGCCATAGCCATAGCCATAGCCATAGCCATATCCATAGCCATAGCCATAGCTATAGCCGTAGCTTACCTTTACCTTTAATCTAACCTACGCCACTTTATTGAAATATAAAGAAATTTTCTTAAAAATGAATTTACATACTAGTTTTAAATTAGGTGTTAATTCTTATTTTTTGTAAAATACGTCATTTGAAAAGATAACTTCATAAGTACAAAAAAAATGTTTTTTATTTAAAAAAAAACACAAATTTGTAAATTTTTGTATTAAAATTTTTTTCATGTTATACTACTTTATCTCTGTGAAACATGTACAAATTTATGGCTGTACAATACAAACAAACGAATAAAGCATACAATGGGCTAGAGAGATTTGGATCTAACAAAAAAGAAAAAAGAAAACGTTCGAACAAAAACATTTTTGTTTTTTTTTTACTGTTTCATTTACCCACAGTTGGCTCTTCTGACTTTTAACTGGCTATTTTCTGGGTGAAAAGGCTAGTTTTTTTTACTTTTTTTGAGGGTAGGGTAAAAGTTTTTTTATTTTAAGGTTTTTATTGATGGACGGGTTAGTTTTTTTTGGTTAATAAGGGGAGGGCAAACATTTCTTTTTGTTTTTTTTGCGAAACGGTCCTTTTCTGGTTTCTCTAACAGCTTTTGGCAGGCCATTTTCTGAGTGAAATGACTAGTTGTTTTACTTTATAGCTATAGCCTTAAAGAAAAGTAAGCTTTTTTAAGGGTAGGGTAGAGATTTTTTTTAAATTTTAGGTATTTTAGAACGGGCGGGGTATTTTTTTTGTAGAAAAGGGAAGTAGTAAAAAAATTCTTTTCCGTTTTTTTAAAATTTTTTTTGTTTATGAAAATTTTAAAGTTTTGTTTTTTTTTGTGAAATGGTCTTTTTTGCTCACTTCAAAGTAAACTGAAGTCATAATTTTACCCATTCTACTGTAAAATTTAACCCACTCCAAGGTAAAGTCTCTCATTAAAGTAATCCGATAAAAGAAAGTAACGGGCTTTACGTCAGGGCGATCAGTTCGGAAAGATAGGTTTAGATTAATGGACTTGAAAACAAGATTTGCAAGATTTATAGCCGTCAAATATGTTTCTTCCATTTTTTATTTGCTTCCTAGCAAAAACTTTTTTTACAAGACGATGGGACTGTTTCTAAAAGCATCTTTGAAAATTCGTATTTTACAAGAATAAAACTAGCGTAGGGCATAGAAAAGTTTAAGGTAGAGAAAGCTATGACAAATCAAAGACAAGGCAAGGTAGAGAATAGCGAAATTTTTAGGCGGTATGGGACACGGTAAGTTTATGAGTCAAGGTAAGGCATGGAACATTTCCTTGCACGGTAAGGTAGGGCAAACCAAAGGTTACGGTAAGGTACTAAAATAGGAGATAAGGTAAAAGATAGGGTAGGGTAGGGTGGAGTAGGGTAGGGTAGGGTAGGGAAGGGTAGGGTAGGGTAGGGTAGGGTAGGGTAGGGTAGGGTAGGGTAGGGTAGGGTGGGGTAGGGTAAGGTAGGGTAGGGTAGGGTAGGGTAGGGTAGGGTAGGGTAGGATTCCTCAACTCACCCTCCCCCTCCTTTCTTTCTCCTATAGATTAATTTTTTGGTTTTGACTCTCCCCTCCCTCTATTAATTTCCTTCACTAACCCCCCTAAGTCTTTCTTAAACAATTCAGAAGCCAATAAACGGTGGAACGTCCATTTCTGGGGCCGTTCCTCTCCTCTTTTTTTGTTTTTGGGGCCGTTTACTTTGATTGATTTCGAAAAAAAAGTTTTGTGTGTTTTGCCGCTTTGTGGCCGCAATGCCCTCCGGCATTCCGCGTTTCGTATAGGTTTTTGGCGCGGTTTTAATGTTGTCCCTATCAAATAAATTTCGGCGATTTTTGAAATGAGAAGGGGCCGAGTCTTGAGTTTTTCCGAATTTTTAAACTGCATAAACTAAAAAGTTTAAAATTCGAGAGTTTTGGAGTGAGGTAAAGGAGAGGGGGCTTAGGGTTTGGGGGAATGTTCAAAATTATTTTGTTTGCTTTTTGAAATTAAATTTGATTTAAGAAAGGAGACTGAGATTGAGGTTGAGCCGTGTGTTTACCTGATCCATAGCCTTTACCTCAACTGTAGCTTTAATCTTAGCCTTACTCTTAGCTTTGGCTTAAATCTTAGCCATAGCCATAATTTTAAGTTTAGCTTTAGCTTGAGTCAGCCTTAGCTTGTGTTTTGCTTTAGCATTAGCCTTTAATTGAGCTACAGCCTGAGCCATAGCTATAGTAATAACCTTGTTCTTAACCTTAATCTTAACCTTAGTCTTAGCCTCAGCCACAGCTTTAATTTAACTCTTGTCTTAATTCGAGCCTTATCTTCTAACCTATCTTGACCTACTCCAATCCTTATATAGTCCTAACCTTTTAGATACACGCTAGTTTTATATCTGCCTTACTATGCTTTTGTCTTACCCTATCTTTTAGTTTAAACTTTAGATCGAGCTGTAGCGTGGCTTTAGGTCAGCATTTGGTTAGCCAGCTATAGGTATTCTTGTAACTAGTGTCAATACATATACAGACGCTAATTTATAGAGAGTTTGGATGTGTTGAAAACCTAAAAAAATTTAAAATTTAAAATTTTTTTTTAATTTTAAAATACTTGTTTTGTAAAATACGTGGTGACGTAGGTTTGCTGACCAAAATAACTTTCATTATTTTTTACCGAATTTAAAAAAAATGAAAAATCTGACAGAATTTTTTTTGCATTTACCTAATTTGTTCGTATTTCTCTCTCATTATTCATGGCGCAAATCTTTACTAGTTTCCATATTGAGAAGTAATGTTGTGTGGTTTTCTGGTTTATACGCTTGTTTCTGACTTACTTTACTAGAAATGGTTTTTAATTGGTAAGAGTTTCTTTTCACTTATTTTTATGTTTTGTAAACTTTTTAATAGGTATGCTTGTAGCACAATATTGTAGTGCTCTTGACTACATATAGGGTGTTACTTTTGTACTGTACAGTTGTGCTTTCGAACTATGTAGTACTTTTTGTATTATATGGTAGGACTTTCGTACTGTATGATAGTACCTTTTGTACTTAGGGGGATTTTTTGTATTGTCTGTACACATATTACAGCTTTTAGTACTGATAAAAATGTAATTTTCCTTTCTAGTACTTGCTCTTTAGGTTAGTACTTAAATACAGTATTAGTACTATACCTTAAGGTAGGATAAAATAGTGCCAAATCTTTTTACATTTATCGCTTACCTTGCTTTACCTAACATTACCTTACCCTACTCTGTCATACGTTTCCTTACCCTACTGTACCCTACCCTACCTTATTTTACCATGTTTTAAAAAACCAGTTCAAACCTAAAAGCACCCTCAAAAGTTAGTCTCCATTAGACAAATCGGCGTCGAAATTAGCATATAAAACGAAAAATAGCCTGCGGTCAAAATTTAAATAATTAAAAAAATCCCCGAAATTTTACGAGCTCCACTTTTCCCCAATCTTCACGGTGCATTTGTGCACTGCTGGAGAGACGAAAACAGCCGAATTACAATACTTTTCTTCCACTATCAGCTGTTACAAAGTGGGGTTATTTTTGGAATTTTTTTTTCGTTTTTTACATTTCAATCAGTTTGATTATCATAGCTTTAAGCTAGCCTTAAAAAAATGCTTTAAAAGAATACAATCGTGGATACGTATTTTACAATATTTTGGTGGTAAGTAAGTTTTATTGCGTTTTAGTACTGCAATTTTAAATAATTTTAGTTTTGTAAGAAAGAACTAGGTTAGAGCTAGAGTAGAGGCTGGTTAACACAGGACAGGTTAGAGCTATGGGCTAAGTCTATAATCAGGGCAAGGATAAAGGCTAAGACTAAGATTAAGGCTAAGGAAAAGGCTAAGGCTAAAGTTAAATTTAAGAGAAGTATTAAAGCTAACGTTTAGACTAAATTGAGCTTAGACAAGATTTAAAAAAATTTTTTTTTTATTTGAATTTTTTTAAAAAAACTTTTTACACTTTAGAAAACCGTTATTTCATAAACATTTTTCTTTTTATCTCTACCAACCTCTCTCTCTCTCGCTCGATATCTCTCTTTTGCTACCTGATTCCGTTAAAATATTCCGAAATCCCCCAAGGGCGTAAAGGAATTTTCGCAAAAATTAATTCAAAGTTGCGGTCATTTCGTGTTTGTTTCAATTCTCGAGAGTCTCGAGAAAAACGAAAAAAAAGTTGATCAAAGCGCACCTTGAATATCGATATCTTGTGGTAGGGTATTGTTCGCGGTGAAACACTATTCTCATATTTGTATATTCTCTTATGTATTTTGACTCAAAAAAGTCATCGTTTCAAGGATTTTTTTTCATTTTGAAAAAAGATGACTAACGTTTCGACTCTTGATGTTTACTATGGTAGGGAGGGTAGTGAGTGAAAGTTTTTGTTACTACTTGGGGAATAAAAAGAAAAAGAAGATAATGTCCTTTTGGCTAAAGTTGTTCTTTTAATTTTTTACTCAGTGTAGGGGTAAGGGGCTTTTCTACCAAAAAAAGTAAAAAGTAGGGTTGAGTAGGCTAGGCTAAACCTAGAGTACGGCTAAAATCAGACTATGGTTTGTGTTTTAAATTTTATTTACAGCTTTAAGCTAGGGCTCTGTGTTAGGAATAGGGGTTTAGGTTCTAGTCTAAGGCTGTGGGTAAGTGCTCTGGGCTAGGGCTTTGGGATAGGGCTCTGGGTTAGGCTCTGAGCTAAAGCTATGAGCTAGCGTTCTTGGCTAGGGCTTTACGCTAACAATTGTAAGGCTCTGGGCTATCGGCTAGGGTTTTTAAATCACATTTCGTCGCGTTATAGCTTGGTTTTAAAAATTTTTTAATACTTTTTTCAGTATTATAAGCAGAACCTCCTTTAACATACTCCGACGGCCTTAGTGCCATGTCGTCGATGGTAGTACAAGATGAAGTTGGAGATCAGGATTATAACAAATTTGGAACGTTTCGTCGTTCTCTACGACAAATCAATCCATTTAAAAGTCGGTTGTTTCGATTGCCAGCTACTCCTAGGCTTACCAGGGCTAGAAAAGGTAGGATAACATCATTTTTATTTTACAGTGTGTAATTTTATATTTTGACTTTGTCATTTTGTATGCTGTGATTATGAACATTGCTCGTATTTTACAATTTTAAATTTGGTTTGGAGGTAATGACTATTTTAGGTCTAAGCAAAGCCGAAGAAGTGACCAGTTGGAACTTCGAACGCCCGTTGTACGGCTCCCACATGACCAATTCTACAGTAACCGCGGCCGAAACCCAATCCACATGTTCCTACGAGCCCAACCCAATGTGCCGGACGATTCCGTCGGACAGTCCGGCCATAATGCGCCAACTCCCACCAAAAGAAGTGGCAGTTGGTGGAAGTTGTCGAGTTCGAAACAATCGACACTCTCGACCTCCACTCCCGAGCTATGTAAGTGTTAAAATGGCGATCCATCATTTTTGAGATGCCTTCAGGGAGATAATGACCCACTGAGGGCCGATGATGACAAATAGGTTGGGGGGAATTTGTTTCAATTTGATTTTTGGCCATTTTTATATTAAGTTGTTCAAAAAATAATAAGCTAAAATTTGAATTATTTTTTAATAGAAGTTTGTCCAAAAAGTAATGAGCCATATCTGATTATGAAAACCAATTTTAATGGCGCATTATTTCTTGAACAACAAAATATTTTTAAAAATTTATATTTCGGTTTTTAAAGGTTAAATCAGTACCATTGACGTATTTTACCCCTTTCAGCACCCGCCGAACGCTCAAGAAGCGGAAGAAGTGATTCATGAGCACATGAAGAACCTAATGGTCAACCCCACCAATCAACGCCTCCAATTCCTCCCCAATACCTCATACGACCCGCAGGGCGAAATGTACGATGCCTCGTGGCGCGATTTTAAAAGTAATATACTGGAAGGTCCTTCGACTCAATCGACTATATCTTGCCTACCGACCGGTCGGCAGGCGATGAGATCGTTGAGTTATGGAGCGAGAGATGAGACGCCTACTACAAGACACAGACTTCAGTACCATTTGAATGGACTGTTGCACCAGCCGAGCATGAAAAGTTTGGTGGATCGGAGCACGGTGCTTAAGAATAAGGTAATTTTGCGAAACAGTGCCATACAAATAGTATTTTACAAAAAAATTTATTACCTAAAAACCAAAATCATACCCAAATATCTGCTATTTCCACCCAAATACCAGCCATTTCAGCCTTCATTCCTCTTCGAAATGCAAGACTTCACGGCCGAAAACAGTGGAGAAGTTGTGTTTTTGGGCCGAGAATGGCTGTTCAAAGAACTTCATCAAACTGTCATAGCCGAACAAGCTCGAATCACGTTGATTCGTGGCGCTCACGGTACTGGGAAGACATCGATAATGCGACAACTTCTACTTCATTCCCCTTTTTATTCAAAGAAGGTAGGGTTTGACAACAAAAACATTTTAAAAACTTTTAAAAAAGAAGTAACAATGCCTTCAGAAGCTTTCACAGAGCCTTCTGTAAGCTAAATCTTCGAAAAACACCCCCAAAACCCCCGTAAACCTGCCCATTTTCAGAATTCCAATGGCGACACAGTGGACTCAGGTATTGTAGTAGGCTCTCAAAGCTCCAACGAATCCTCGTTAAGCTCCAAGAACTACGAATGGCTTCGCAAAGTGTCAAACAAGGTCGTAGCTTATCATGAATGTCATCTTTATGCTTCAAACACCTGTGGCATTCCAGAATTCATTCAAAATACAGCATCGTATCTTCGTACTGCCATCAAGGAGTACAATGATGTTATAGAGGACGATGATGGTCTTCAAAAGCTGCTGGAAGATGAGAATGAGGTTTTGAAGTTCTCACCAAAGCAGTTGTTTAAGAAACTGTTGGTTGATCCATTAATGATGGTTGATAAGGTAGATCAGAAGCCAGATGTAGCCTTGATAGTGATTGATGCCATAGATGAAGCAGAGTTTCATCGTAACGAGAACGGAGAGTCTATCTCATGGTTGATACGAGAATGTAGCAATCTTCTACCTTCATGGACCAAATGGATCCTCTCCGCGTCGGCCGAGAACCTTCCCTTTGCCGGCGCCGAGGCCCGCTCCCTCTGGATCGATGATATGGAGCTGGACGAACGTGTAGCCAGAGATATGCGCCTTCTGGTCGATTACCGTCTATCAGCCAATCCTACGCTAGAAAAACGAATCTGCGAACGATGCCCTCAGGCGGCGAATCAAATTCTTTGCGAATTCATCGACGAAATCGTCGACCGCGCCAAAGGCAACGCTCTGTTCATCATGCTTCTGATGGACATAATCGAAAACGACCTCATCAACATGCGCAACATGGCCATTGCGTTGTTGCCGCAGGACTTGAACCACCTCTACCTCCTCTATTTTAATTGTATATTCACTTCGATTCAACAGTTTCACGCTGCCTCCACCGTGATGAGTGTGATATTGGCGTCGCTGAGGCCGCTCACCTTCGAACAGTTATTGAAAATCATGAATTCGGGTAACGCAAACTACGGTATTTCTCCCAAGGAGCTGGAAAACAGGTAATTTTTGGATTTATTTTGAATTTTAGGTAATAATTTTGATCTTTTGGCCATAAACTTGGAAGTTAGGCCATAATTTTGTAAGTTAGGTAACATTTTTAATTTTTGGGCCATAATTTTGAAGTTTAGGTAATAAGAATTCAATTATTTTTGGTAAACGTATTTTACATTCCAGGTTAAATTTATTGAACCCATTTGTATGTAAATTATCTACTGGAGCCTACATCCAATGTCATAACTCTCTCAGGGAATGGTTATTGCATGGTAGTAATCATACTGATTACCTTATCAATGTTAGGTGAGTAACTTTTCCTACTCTGCCCTACTCTACTTTACCCTACCCTACCATACCATACCATACCCTACCCACCCTACCCTACATTACCCTACTCAACATAAATCTTTACCTTTCAGATACGGTCACCTCCTCCACGGCTTATATTACACAAGAAAAGGTGACAGTTCACCGGAAGATCTATTTGAGCTAGGCCACCATCTCCTCAAAGCCAACCCTCACAAGTACATGCCAGCTGATATGGCACCGGAAATGCCCGTAGGCCGTGATGCTCAAGTCCTCTGGATTCAACGATGTGCTGGTACCAAAGTACAGAACGCTCTACTGTACCAACGAAACGTATTCTACCCGAACAACAAGGTAACTCGTCTACTGCTGATGGCCGGAGCTCAAACCAATGTATTTTGGCACAGTAACAACGAGCCCTTACTTTGTTCGTATGCCAAAAGTGGCAATGTGGTACTACTACAACTGCTGATCCACTATGGAGTAGAAGTGAATTGTTGCAGTCGATCGACCGGTCAAACACCACTAATGCACGCTGTAAGAGAAGGTCACGAAGAAGCGGTAAAGCTACTTCTAGAAGCCGGCGCTGATGTCAGTATGAGAGACAGTATCGGTCATACTGTAATGGTGCATGCTGTATATGCAAAATCTGTTCGTATGTTAGAGTTAACATACGATTGCGAATGGAATGAGCAGAATACCAAGAATGAACAAGTAAAACAATGTCTGGAGCTGGCTACAAAGTCAGGCATATTACCCATCGTCGAGTTCATCCTCAACAAAACTGACGTCAACGTGAACCTGGTGGATAATATGCTGATTGCTTGTTCTAACGGTCAATTAGAACTAGTACAATACTTTTTAAGTAAAGGAGTTACATTGAGTAAAGACCAGCGATACGATGGTAAATCATCGTTAATATGCGCTGTAGAATCTGGATCGTACGACTTGGTTAAAAGTGTTTTAAATGGATATGATGGAGATGTTAACAAGGACTTGGTCGATGGAACACAGCAAAATGCTCTTATTGTGGCTAGCAAACTAGGACATATTGGATTGGTTGATGTTTTGCTAGGAAGAGGTAATAAATTTGACTTTATTTATATTGTAGTAGATAGTTATTGTCTTATTCTTTAAATAACTCATTATTTAATAATAGCACGTAGCTGTAAAATTGTGACAAGTACGTAATGACCCATTTCATTATTTTTACAACATGTTTTGACCCAACGTTAACCTTTTCAGGTGTGCATATTAACCATCAAGACGTAGATGGCCTTACAGCCTTATCTCATGCCATAATTAATGAACAATTCTCATTAGCGTCGCTGTTAGTCAATAAAAAAGCGGACATTAATGTAGTTGACAATAATGGCAACACTTTACTACATCTACTAGCTATACATCACAACAAATCTCTGGTAGATAGACTATTAGAAACTGGACTACAAGTTGATGCCAAGAATAATGATGGTAGGTTAAGATATTGAAGTAATGCTAGAAATAACGTCTAAGGACCCACGTTTGTTAAAAAATAATTTTAAGCTGCAAATTTAAAGATAAGAAAGCTATTATTCAAAATTAAAAACCAACACCTTTGTTTCTATACCTACATCAATATAATTGTTCATAAAACCATAATTTTAGGAATGCGACCAGTTGAAATAGCTCTGACAAACGGCAAACAAAATGCCGTAGACGTTTTCCTACGTCGTGGAGCCCGTTTGCGCTCTCTAACCTGGAAAATCGCCGCAGAATCCAATCCTCAACATGTCATTTCTCTCATTCGAAAACTCTTCGACGACGGCCGAACCTTATACCGAAGAAACCGCTTCGACGAAGCCATGCATCGTTTCCACCACGCCCTAGAGAAGTGCACAGAGTTCCTAATAGAAGAAAACACCTTCACACCACTCATCGCATCCACTACAACAACCAAAAATGGCAAAAACTCCAACACCATTGAAGCGATTCAACCTCAGCTCAGGCTATGCAAATGCGAACTTCTATATACCGTGGCGGACATAAAACGACAATCCAATGAGTTCACAGAAGCTGTGAAGTTGGCTGGAGAGGCGCTACGCTTCGCTGACACCGAGAATGTGGCCTTCCAATTACATTACTTTAGGGCCAAGTGCTACTTCGATCAGGGAAAAGTGCACGACGCTCGTGCTGAAGCTCAATTAGCTGCCACACTGAAACCAGACAATGGAGATATACAAGTGTTATTAACTGCCTTGAATTCACCCCGTGTTTAAACTGTTTAGATGAAATAAATGTCTATTATATTGTGCTAGATTGATGTTGAACTTTAAAAGAAAAAACAGAAGTAAATCAAGATAAAAGTTCATCATGCTATCCTAAAAACTATATAAATGTTTACATAACAAGACCATACAGTAAGAACGTCAATTCAACCAGAAATCAACAAAAAAAACCAACAACAACAAACTTATTTGATGGTCTAACATAACATCATTTTAAACATCGTAAAACTTCATAAAACTAAAACATCTTTATAAAATTGAAAAGCTAAAACATAAAGGGTTCATGAAATGCAAAAACGATTCAAAGAAAAACAATAAATATGGTATTTTACCCATTCTTTACAAAGTTTAACTCTAAAGCAACATTTGACTCATTTTCTAAACTAGCGCCAAGTCTTCTTTTTAGTTTCTCTTTTTTCACGGATCAAAGGAACAAGTGTTTACTACAATATAGGCATGTTTCAAAGGGTCTTTTTCCTGCTTAATACTTTTCTGAACGTCTTCGAACTCTTGCGAGTTTAATTTCATGTTTTAATTGTATTTCTTCGTGCTCTACTTTATATTAACCCTCAAAAAGGTTATAAACGTGGGTATAAAGATCATTTTTATTTTTACAGGGTTGAACAATGTTGCGGTTGGCCGCAAAAGAGTCTATAAAATGTCGAATTGGTGCTGTACGTGAAGCATCATCATCAGCGGCGGAAGGCGCGCAAAAATCTGCAGGATTCGGCAAGAAATTGTTTGCTCTAACTGCTGTTGGTGCTGGAGCGGTTGGCGGAACAGTTGGCTACGCTTACGTTGATCCATCATTTAGAAAGCAGGTGGAAGATGCTGTGCCACAATCCAAACAGCTTTTTGAGGCTACAATTGGGCCTGCATCGTGAGTTTTTGATGTTTTTGTCTTGCTTTAGGTTCTGAAGTGTGTAGATAATAATATAAAACTATGGTTTGTTTAGAAGAAACGCCTTGGAGAACACTCCAATTATTGAAAAGTTAAGTCATGGAATATCTGACGTTAAACATAAGGTTTCTGATGTGGCTCATCGTGTTGTGCCAGAGAAGAAAGAGGCCTTACCTCCATCTAAACCTAAACCAGAAATTGTACCTGTCGATGTTCATAAGCCGGTCGTAACTTTCCCCGCTAAGAAAGTGACTTCAGAAGAAGCTGCTCAAGCTCTCAAAGGTAAAGAATTTTATTTGTTTGAAGTTTAGGTATTAACACAAACTGTAATTTTTGGCTGGAAGTTGGTATCTTGTTCAGTATTAGCTAGTATATACAGCTCAAAATCAAATTTATAATTAAAATAACTTTTAGAAGTAGAAAGAAAGATCATTGCCCAGCTGGAGAAGACTCAACAAGTTGTTCAAGAAGCTACTCAAGCTAAAATTCAAACAATTGAAGCTGTTTCTGAGCATGCGAAAAGTATTAAGGATGCTGTTGATGCTGGACCAAAGGCTAACTGGGACAAAGTCAGAGAGGCTTTGGCTAATTCTGAGCAGCTTGCTAGCAAGGATATTGAACTAGAATCAAAAGGTCGTCATGCTTTAGATGCTTTAAAGAAGGTAAGCCTGATTTTTTGTTTAAATTTTTATATTATCATAGATCATGTTGATATTTTGAAAATATTTTTTGTCATTTTTGGCTACTGCTGTTTAAGAGAATGATAGAAAATTGAGTTAAGATTATAATCTCACAAGCTACACCTAACATTTAGGTGATTGCAAGCAGCAAACACGAAGAATCTTCATCAGCTGCACCAATCTTGGTTAACGCTAGGAATTCGGCCGAAAAGTTTGCCTATCAACTCGACGAGCTAAACCAGATGATTCAAACTCAACGAAATGAGAGCAAGGTCTTCAACCAATACAAGGATTTGATCAACCAAAGCCGTGAACGTTTTGCCGAAGAGATCAAGGCCGTCGTTCCGAATGTGGACATTCACGCCAAGGAGAAGAAGTTGAACGAGGAGGAGTTGAATGCCTTGATTGCTCATGCTCATTTGAGGGTTGATCAGTTGAGGAGACAGTTGGCTGAACAGCAGGTAAGAAATTATTTTAAAATTAGTTAACCTACGATTGATCTGATTATAAAGTTAATTTTTTTTCGACTACACGGTTTTGTTTATTGACTAAAATCACTTTTAGTTGTTGGAAGAGAAAAACATTGCCAAAGCGTTGGAAGAACAACGCAAGTCCGATGCCAACTTGTCCAGAGCTCAATTGGACCTAGAGTTGACTAGGGTAAAAGAGATTGGCAATGTGGAGCTGGAGAGAAAGTTGAGGGATGAACGAGGAAACTGGGAGAAAGAGCTTGAGGAAAGGCTTCAACGGGCTGCGGCTGCTCACGCCGACAACTTGGAACAGGTCGTGCGGACTCAAAAACAACTTCACGACATTGAGAATGCTCAGGCTGTTGATGTGAGTGGTTTTTAATTTTTGTTTGAAATTTATGGTCATTTATTAAAATTTTAAGGTTTTTTTGGGATTTTTATGTCATTTTTTAACGCTTTTTAAAATTTTAGGTTTTTTTGAAAAAAAAATTTAAAAATTTACAAATTTATTGAAGGCTAAAGCTTTTATTCTCAATCTGCTTTATTTAAATTCTCTAAATTTCCAGGAAGCAGTAGAAAAGGAACGTCATCTCCATCAAAAACAAGTCGAGTTGGCATTGGAAAAGTTGAGAGGTATCGAAACAGCTTTGAGTAGTCGTGTAGCGTTGGACGCTGAAAACAGAAAGGCCAAACAGTTTTGGTTAGCTTGCCAAAACCTACACGAATCGATTGAATTTGGTCAAAAAGCTGGCGAAACTGTAGAACAACGAAGAAAACCGTTGGAAAAGGAGGTAAGGTGACTTACAAGGGAGGTTGGCAGTGATTTATAAGGTGCGAAGGGGTTTGAAATGTTGTTTATGGGCAACAAATTTGCAATACCTTTCTTTACAAAACGTAAAACGGCAAGAACTTTCTTTACAAAACATATATTAGCAAAAACTTTCTTTACAAAACGAAAAATGGCTAAAACTTTCTGTACAACGTAAAAAAACCTGAAATAAGGTAAATTTGGGCTTGTTTTGTTGTTTTTAAAATGATTTTTTGAATAATAATGATGAATTTTTAGTTGGCAGTGATTGGAAAGGCGTGTGAGAACGATGAGTTTGTTAAGACATTGCTCACAACGTTTCCAACTGCTAGTCTTAAAACAGGAGTGTACACAGAAGCTGATCTTAAACTTAGGTTTAAGCAGGTAAGTTAGCTTTTTTAATTTCATATTGGACAGGAAATAACATTTTTAACTGTAATTTTTTAATTTTTGTAACCATTTGCACTGTGCAGCTTAAAAGTTTTGTTAAACTACACCGTGCACTTTAAAAAATCTTGGAGAATATGCACAGTGCAATGAATTTTTAATAATTTTTTATATTTTTTCAAAATTTAATTTCAAAATTCATAACATTTTTTAGGTATACAAAATTGGCTTCCGAGTAGCAACAGTGGACGTGAACGGCGGATCCCTATCCAAGTACTTGTCCTCTTGGATCCAATCCCTATTCATTGTCGACTTCCCTCGCCGCTTCTCACCAGAAGACCCCCTTGACCTAAAAACCCTGGACAACCGAGAACTACTGGTCAGAGTAAAGTATTTCGTGGAGAAGAACGACTTCCTCACTGCCATCAAAGTGGCCCAACTTCTCGATGGACCAGCCGCAGGCATCGCACGCGACTGGATTAAAGACACTCGTCAACACTTGGAAGTCAAATTCCTAGCGGATCTTCTCCTCTCACATGCTGCCGTGAGCAGCATCAGATCCGTTTATTAGAGAACATTAATTTCTTGTTAGATGGATAAATTTAAATAGTCTGTAATAAATTTTTTTGAATAGAAATGCGTTTTTTGGTTTGTAAAGAAAGTTATTGACATTTTTTGTTTTGTAAACAAAGTTTTTGCTGTTTTTTTGCGTGTAAAGAAAGTGATTGCTATTTTTTGGGTTGTAAAGAAAGTGTCTGTCATTTTAATTTTTGCAAGGAAAGTTATTGCTATTTTTTTCTATGTAAAGAAAGTTTTTGCTATTTTACGATGCGTAACGAAAATTCTTATCACTTTTTGTTTTGTAAAGAAAGTTATTGCCTTTTCTCTATATCAAGATCTATATATAAAAACATAAAAATATTGACATAGTCAAAATATAAAATAATTTGGTCGGCCCCACAACATTCTATAATGGTGAGATTCCCAGAACAAAGAAGCTAGTCTTAACCTTCTTAATTTTATCTGATGTTATAAACAACATCCTATAAAATGGCAGATTAACTTTGTTTTACCCCCCGCAATTACTTCTATTTTTAAGCAATTTATATTTATTATCCCTTTAATTAGAAATTTTAATTCCCTTTCTCCTTGAAATAGTACTGTATGATCGTAAACATTTTACGTAGTTAATGTTTGGAATAATATGCAGTTTTTTTGGTTTTAGGATTGAAAATACGGTTTTCTGGTCAAAAATGATTGAAGAACGGTCTATTACTGTCCGCAAAACGAAAAAAAATCAATCTAACTTCTAAGTTTGGATAAGTGAATATTGTTGAAGATAGTTCTTTCGTTGCCTTACCTTTTACTATACCTTTGCCCTGCTTTTTACATAACCATACCATACTTTTACCCTGACTTTGCTCTACTTTTGTCCTACTCTTACGCGCTACCTTTGCCGTTCTCTTGACACACCCATATATTTTATGGCCATACCTTACTTTTGTGTTACTCTTACTCTAATTTTGTCCTACCTTAGCTAGTTTGCCCTTCGTTTGCCCTACTCTTACCTTACCTTTGGATTACCTTTGACAAACTCTGCACCTATTCTACCTTTAGTCTCTCTTTTAATAACCTAGTCTTACTGTAGCCTTTCCCTACCTTATTCTAATCCAACTTTTGTTTCACGTTTGCTGTATCAGCTTCATCATCATCTTTCTTCTTTTAAACACATTTTGGTTATAAGGTTGGTAGACATGAGAAACGGGCCGGGCCGGTCTTGAGCAGAATTTTGATCGGGCTGTGCCTAACATTCAAGCTCGGCCCGTTTCTCCTGTCTAAAGGTTGGATCAAGCCGTAGTTTCTACAACATTTGTAAATAAGTGCGTGGGTAAGTGAAGAGTAATCTTTAATAACTATGCTTGTAATTTAGGCTAATACTTCAGCAATTTAATATTCTCTTAGACTTTAGTTAATTTATTATATGACACATAATACTGTGCTAATTAATCTTTATGCTTCCGTTGGCTTGATCTCTCTTTGTCCTTTGATAATTAAACTGTATATTTTTAAAGAAATATGTTATCTAAACATAGGATAATATGAATTTTTTATGATCTACCAATAGATATGTGTGTATGTCTTACACCTTATGACTTTCACACATATCTCTTGGAAGATATATCCATTGCCAACACGATTACCAATGTATATCCTCTTAATTATCAGCCTACTATAACATACCATTTTCCGCTTACTGTACCCTTTGTCCGCTTGATTAATCCTCTCTGACTTTTTCGTATAACCCCCGCAAAGTTAGTCGACTAGCGCTACGTTGTTGTCTACATGACTCTGTTAATGTCCGGGATTATAACATACAGATGTGGTAATCCGGTACCGCCCACCGAACGAAATCCCCCAGCTTTTAATGGCCCAAAAGTCTTGTCATTTGCTTAAAAGCGCCGACACGGCGGTGTGCTACGAGGTATTGAAGTATTGCAGTATCAACTGGATACTCTTGCAGGATCAAGTAGATTTAGCACTTTAGTATTATCCCTCTACGAGTTATATATTGTTGTATCGGCAAGGTATAGCACTGTGGTATTATCCATCTACTAGATATTGCCCTCTCAAGCTAGCAAACAAGAGATACGACGCTGTAATCTGCTATATTTGGAGAAATCTTTGAGTGTTTTAAGGATTACAACTACTGTTTTAAGCCTCTAAACTGTTTTAAATTTGCAGTTTAGAGTTTTTACTGACATTTCAAGCCTCTACGGTTATTTTTGTCAACTGGTACACTTGGTACTAAAAGTGGTACATTTGGTACACTTTTCGCAAATAGCTTTGGAACTTCATTTAAAGCTCTGTACCTATTTTCTTAAGTATAAAGCCTCTTTATCACCAAAACCAACCAAAATGTCGATGAATTTCAACGTAACAAGCATCGAAATCTCAACCCACGACCTCCAGACCCTCCGGCTCTTCTACACTTCAATGGAACAAGTTCACACATTTCTGATTCTACTTATTGCTCTAGTAGTACCACTCATGATGATACTCATTTTGGTACTCGTTTATAAACTACACGCTTTGAAACGACGAGTTATACCATCAGTTAAGCTGGAAGAAGAGTTCTCGGACTATGATTTATACGGCAGTTGGGCCGAGAAGAGCGTCATTTTAGATGTGTGATTCTGTGAGTATAACCAAAATATTGTAGAATACGACCTGTACGTTAACGTGCTTTATAGTTATCAGTATGTGTTGATGTATAGCGTATTTTACAATAATTTTATTGGAAAACTTATGAAAATCGTTCTTTAAATGCCCTTTTACTGCCATTGTTAAAGTTGTACTACCCTTAATTTACAATATTTGCTACGTCCTTAAATATGTATCAATATGTATCTTATTATGTCTCTAAATATATCATAACAACATGAATATCTTACACTTTTACCTTCAACATATCAAGCTCAAACTTTGCTCAACCATTCTCCGTTCTGTGCCATATCTTTTACTACATATATCCCTTGACATTGTTGTTTTACTTGTAAATTATGACAAATTTTGTCATGTTTAAACAAAAATAAAAAAATCTTGAACAATTATGTTATCAGTGTATTTTATTCGACAAAAAAAACATATAAGTCAGTGCGAAAAATGAAGGATAATACGAGATTAGGACTTTGTAAAACGTTCGTAAACGTATTCAATGGTGATGTATATGCAAAGTCTAGTAAAAGAAATAGAAAACAATTTTTTTTAGTTTAAAAATGGCAAAACTTCTTTGCAAAACAAAAAATGGCAAAAACGTTCTTTACAATGCTTGAAATGGCAAGAACTTTCTTTTCAAAATAAAAAATTGCCAAAACTTTCTTTACAAAGCCAAAAATAGCAAGAACCTTCTTTACAAAGTAAAAAATAACAAAAACTTTCTTTACAAAGTAAAAAATAGCAAAAACTTTCTTTACAAAACTAAAAATGGCAAGAACTTTCTTTAATGTCAAAAATTTTTATTTTTTACTTTTTTAAAACATGTTTCATACCATTACTAAACCCAAGTCATAACACAATTTTTTCTCAATTTATTGTGTATTTATTCAAAATTTTATATACAAAATTAAAAAAAAGATCAAAAGACAAAAGGGCAGTATATTATGTATAATATCTAACGATGTGAATAGGAATTTTTGTGTCTTGTTCTGTATTATTGTCTATATTTTACAATAACACTATATATTTGTATGTGTCTGCAAAATATTTGTATTTTGACATTACAGTACATATATAGGTAGAGTAGTAATGTAAAATCAGTCAGACAATAGTAGTTATAGTACTACTACATTTTAAATCAGAAGAAAGAAGACATTGTCTATAATAATATAGATACCATTGTCATAACATAAAGACTGAGCAATGGTTTATCATAGGTAGAAATCCCCCCCCTCCATTCCTTAATGTGGCAGACCTCCATCTTCAAGTTCGAGTGGATTCCGATACAAACACAACGATGATCCTGTAGCCAACGCCGCTTCGGCTACGGTCTGTTTGCCAACAGACGAGCGAGTGTTAAATCGACGTTCGTCATCTTCCGCTGAAGAAATTTTGTTTACAAGAAGTATTTTAGTTTAATTAAATTTTAATCTTCTTTAAATACCACTTCTTAAGCAGTTTCAATGATTGCCGTATTAGCTATTTATAATATTATTTTAACTTGTAAATATAAGGTTTTTAAGAAGCTTATGTCATTAAAATAAGGCTAGCAAGGTGTTTTTGAGATCCTAAGTAGAGAAGGGTAAGGTGAAAGTAGGGTAGGGTTAGGTCAGTTAAGGTGGAGTGAGGTAGTATAAGTTTAGGTAGGATAACGTGAGAAAGAGTGAGGTAGAATAGTGTAGAGTAGGGTAGAGCAATACCTATATTCTACAGAAAGCTAAGCTACAGTAATCTTACCCTGTCGCAGCATAAAATACGATAATTTACTACTGCCTACTGTACCCTACTTTCAGTTACTGACTCTAATCTGTATTACCTCACCCCTCCTCCGCTAGCCTACTGTAGCCTTACTACACTTTACCAATACCTTTTTATACTTAACCCTATTCTACCCTACCGTAGAAAAAATTGTATAACTAAAATTGTTTTGCAAATGTACTGTCAGTACCATCAAAAACTGTAAAAAACGCCAGACAAAATCCTTAAATTTTTTAAAAGTTTAATTTTGAAAATGAAAGAAAATGTTGTTTATAAGAACGAGGAAGAGATTTACAATCCTTTATGACACTGTAACTTCCGTTTTCCGTAATTTCCTTTTTTTCAATTTTCGATTTCTCCTACATATTCATCCGTCGTAAACTAAAACAAAAACTTAATCTTATGCTATGTCAAACTTCCGTCTCCAAAAGTTTTTAATATTACCATGCCTAACGTTTTTTTAAATCATAAACATGAAGGACGGACAGGGCCAGAGCAAAATTTAGGTCGGGCTAGGCCTGAAAATCCCCAAAAAACCCGACCCAGCCCGAAAAATCCGGTCCTCCCCATGTCTAGTTGAACATCCTACTCTACCCTGCCCTACCCTAGCCTGCTCTAATTTTCCTACCTTACCCTATTCTACCATATCCTACTCTGCCATACCCTACCCTGATCTAATTTTTCCTATCCTGCCTTACCTCTCACAATCCAAATGCCAACTTACGTCTCTGACTTTCCCCACGCCTTGGCAATGTTAAACTTCTTGGTGTTCCTGGAATTCTAGGTGCTTCACTATGAGTTTGACTTCGTTTCGGACCTAATGATGGAGTAGCTGTTCCTCCTCTAGGTTGGAGAAAGGCTTGAACTCCTAGTGGAGTATTGGATTTGCTGCGATCATTCATCAACAACATTTGGCGTTGAACACTCAATTCACGGAGGTGACGTTGACTTTCACGGACATTCAGGTATTCGTGGAGTTGTTCTCTACAAAATATTTTATTAATATTGATAATATGATTATTAATTTCGACTTGCATGGTAAATGTTAATGTAAGGCAAGGCATGCTAACATATAATACTAGCTAAACCAAAGCTCGCCTAGGATAGAAAAAGCTGTTGCTTGAGCTAAGAAAGAAGCGCAAAGGTTGAATCGGGCTAAAGCTCTGGACTAGGGATCTGGGCTAGAGCTGTGCGCCAGAGCTCTGGGCTAGAGCACTGGGCTAAAGCTCTGAGCAAGAGCTCTGGGCTAGAGCACTGGGCTAAAGCTCTGAGCAAGAGCTCTGGGCTAGTCCCCTGGGCTAGCGTTAGAACTAACAATTTAATTGTAAGGCTAGCTTATGCTGAACCTTCCGCAAGCTTTGATTACAACAATATCTATTAAAACCCTTATCTTCTAAAACAATATCCAACAAACCCCATATTATCCATGAAAAATAGCATCAACAAGTCCTTATCTATGACAATATCTAGCAATCCCTATATTACCTACAACAATATTTTGTCAACAAGACCTAATCTACAACAATATCCCGTCAGCCGAATATTATCCACAACAATATCCTGATAAAAACAATTCTTGCAACGGAACAACACAGAATCACCCCTAATCCATGTAGGTCCAAAGCACCCCTTCCCCATAATCTATTTGTAAAATCACCCCCCCCCCTTTAATCCATTTGTAAATCCACTCACTTTGGGGTTTTGTAATCGCGCCATTGTTGGCCTTCGCGTCGGCCGAAGAAGATGATACTCAGCGCCAGGATTAAGCCAATACACAGAACTGCAAGCAATGGGAATATCTGCAAATGAATGTGCTGTATTAAGGGTAGAGATATTAATGTAGGCTTTCAGATGTAAATTTAAGACTTTACATTTAGAAAGCGGTATCTAATCTTGGTGAATGTAATCGTTTTGGATGTAAAAGTAATGTTTTGCAGTAAATATCTAGTGGAGAATTGGATATCTACTGGAATATAAATGTAGTCTTAGCAGATGTAATCCTACCAGATTAACAACTATTTTTACAGTTTTATGGATTCCAAAACGTCGCTAATACGTGTACAATAACAACCTATTTTTAAGATTGAAAGCAGAACCGGATGCTGGATTAGAACATAACAGAGAGCTTAATATAGCAAAAAATGCACCTTAAAATCAAATTTTAGAAAATTATTTTAAGAAAATGTTTTAAAATTAAAATTTTATTTTTAGGGCTTTGTAAAAAAATTTCTTGCGGTTCTTTGCTTTGTAAAAAAAGTTTTTGACATTTCTATTTTGTAAAGAAAGTTCTCGCCATTTCCCGTTTTGTAAAGAAAGTTTTTGCCATTTTTCAAGTTGCAAAAGAAAATTTTTGCCATTTTCTGCTTTGTAAAGAAAGTTCTTGCCATTTAGGTTTTACAAAGAAAGTTCTTGCCATTTCTTGTTTTGTAAAAAAAGTTCTTGCTATTTTCTGTTTTGTAAAAAAAGTTTTTGCCATTTTGGTTTTACAAAGAAAGTTCTTGCCATTTCTTGTTTTGTAAAGAAAGTTCTTGCTATTTTCTGTTTTGTAAAGAAAGTTCTTGCCATTTTTCGTTGTGTAAAGAAAGTTCTTGCCATTTTCTGTTTTGTAAAAAAAGTTTTTGCCATTTAGGTTTTACAAAGAAAGTTCTTGCCATTTCTTGTTTTGTAAAGAAAGTTCTTGCTATTTTCTGTTTTGTAAAGAAAGTTCTTGCCATTTTTCGTTGTGTAAAGAAAGTTCTTGCCATGTTATCGTTTTATAATACAAAATTAATTTTTCATAGAATCAATGCACCATGTCGTATTTTACAAATTTGCAACCTGCGAGTGACAATTTATACAAGAAATAAATTTGAAACAAAAACGATTGCCATTTTCTGCCTCGTAAAGAGTTTCGCCATTTTTTTGTAAGAAAACAACCAACCGGATTTTACAAAAAACGTTATAATTTCGCAGCCTGCAGGCTTTAACATTTGCCTTGCAAAGTTCTTGCCATTTTTTAATTAATAAAGAAAATCCTTGTTGTTTTTGATTTTGTAAAGAAAGTTATTGATATTTTTCGTTGTGTAAAGAAAGTTATTGCCATTTTTTGTTTTGTAAAGAGTCCTTGTCATATTTGATTTTGTAAAGAAAGTTCTCGCCATTTATTGTTTTGTAAAGAAAGTTCTTGCATTTTTGTTTTATAAAGAAAGTTCTTGCCATTTTACTGTTTTTAATTACAAGATCACGCCTTTTTTTGGTTCAATAGTACACACAACGTATTTTACAAAAAATTTATTTTGCAGACTGCGGATGACAATTTATATTGCAAGAAACAGCTTCTCTGTGTTGTAAACAAAATATGTTGCATTTTGCTTCGTAAACGAAGTTTTTGCAATTTTACGCTTTTTAAAAAAGTTATTGTCTTTTGTAAACAAAGTTCTTGCAGTTTTATCCCTAAGTGTTGCACTAATCTTCCTTTATATAAAAACCATGTTTAGTACTCACAAATCTTACGGATTTACACAATTTTCTGCTGAAAAGATTAATTTCAAACGGAAATCGCGAAAAAGTGGTCAACATAACAAGATTTGTAATTGTCAGATCTCTCAAAGTGTAATTGTAAACAGATTCTGCACCGGAAATGTCAATTGAATATTTAAATTTTTTGTACTTCTTAAAGGGCAAATGATGGAAGGTAGTTTACAGATAAGGAAAAAGACGTGATATTTGGAGTTAAAAAAGAAAATCGCAGGAACTTTCTTTACAAATCGAAAAATGGCAGGAACTTTCTTTACAAAACAACAAATTGCAAGAACATTGTTTACACTTAAAAAAACAAGAACTTTCTTTACAAAGCTCAAAATCAAAAAAATAAAAAATTTTTTAACAAACAAACTTACCACCACACTCTGCCAAAAGTAATACGGAAACTGGTACATTTGTTTGTCTCTGTGTGTCTCTTCCATTCGCCTGCTCTCTAATCGTTCCTTTTTCAATTCCAAATCTTTTCGAATTGCTTCTGAGACTTCTGGAGTTTCTTCTGAAGGCGCTGGAGTTGTTGGAATGTAGAATCCACGCAGCAGTGTCATGTTTTTCTAGAAGAAGTCTTTATGAAAGGTTTAACTAGTGCCCGCAGGGGATTTTTAGTCGGAAGATGAGTTATTACAACTTGCCTACCCTACCCTGTCCTACCGTACCGTACCCTACTCTACTTCACTCTACTGTATTCTCACCTACCGTCAACCTACCCTACCCTACCCTACCCTACGCTACCCTATCCTACCCTACCTTACCCTACCCTACCCTACCCTACCCTACCCTACCCTACCCTACCCTACCCTACCCTACCCTACCCTACCCTACCCTACCCTACCCTACCCTACCCTACCCTACCCTACCCTACCCTACCCTACCCTACCCTACCCCTACCCTACCCTACCCTACCCTACCCTACCCTACCCTACCCTACCCTACACTACCCTACCCTACCCTACCCTACCCTACCCTACCCTACCTTACCCTGTCCTACCGTACCGTACCCTACTCTACTTCACTCTACTGTATTCTCACCTCCCGTCAACCTACCCTACCCTACCCTACCCTACCCTACACTACCCTACCCTACCCTACCCTACCCTACCCTACCCTACCCTACCCTACCCTACCCTACCCTACCCTACCCTACCCTACCTTACCCTGTCCTACCGTACCGTACCCTACTCTACTTCACTCTACTGTATTCTCACCTCCCGTCAACCTACCCTACCCCACCCTCAACCTACCACATTAAATCGACACCAATCAACGTCAAATTGATTGCGAAAGTGTTTGTCCAATGGTATGAAGCCATTATTAGTACAATATTCTGGATTGTCTTTATTGTATCTGGCAAAGTTTTGAATATTCGGATGGAACTGAGATTGAGTACCGACTTGAATAATCGACCTGGAAAACATATGTAAAATACGTTGTGGAATAGGACATCAAAACAAAAGGCACTTTTGGTTTATTTTTGTAATGTCGCGCCATTTTTTTCGAAGCAAAAAAACTAGAGTTCAAAAAATTAAACTTAATTTTTCTCTCCGCATCCTGTAAAGTTGATTTTAAATTTTTATCTTATCTACCCCCAAAAAAAATTTTACCCCGCCCGAACTTTTTTTTACTTTTTTTGCCCCGCATTTAAAAAAGTCATTTTAAATTTTTTAATCCTTGTCATCCCCCCCCTCTCCTTAAAAAAATTTTACCCAGCTTAAAAAAAATTTTTTTTGCGTCTTCTTGAATTATTTATAATTTTGTCTTACCCCCAAATAAATGAAAAGCCCTACCCAGTCTTGTACTTTTGTCCAGGATAATACGAATTGAAGTTAGTGTAGCTCTCTTCCCTTGATGTTGGCACAAATTCTGGTATAATATTGAAGATGTATGGATTCACACCTTTTCCTGGGAACGTTCTGTGAATCACATTTTCCAACCGCTTCAGATTATTCTTACTGTAATCCGAGTAAAAGTCTTCTGGCTCAATATTCTTGAACTTGATCTCGACTAGCTGTTGAGTTGTCGTGTTGAATCGGACTGAAATTCGAATTTTTTTTAAGTTAAAATTCTTTTTAAATTAAAAAAAATCTAGTGGTTGTTCAAATAATTTTGATCCCCTTAATTCCAAAAATTTGCTTTGAAAGAGGCACAAAATTATTTGAACAACCCAATATAATATTAAAAATTTAAAGTTAAAGCCTCCTTACTGTCCTCGTCCAACAATATTGTGATGAATTGGCTAGCCGACTCGTATGTGTCAGTCCTCCTTGCAATAATATGGATCGTGACCTGAGGCAATGGAGTTACCGGAGTTCCGACCAAATAGGCAATAACTTGATGTCTCGATTTGGCTAAATGAATCCAAACTGGCAGTTCGGGCTTTCCTTGCGCTGTGGCTGTCCATTTTACATTAACTGGAAAGGGTTTTCATGAAATTGTTTAAAAAAACTGTTTGTTACCTAAATATAAGTTTAGGTAACAAAATATTCTAAAGATATGCTACAAACCTTGACTTACTTTGAAAACTATTTTTTTTAAATGCGGGTTAGAAATTATTTCGGAGTAAAAAGGTCAATTTAAAAATGTGATTCTTTCAAAAATCAAAAATAAGTTCAAAGTCAACATCTAAAATAAGGTATAGCTCTTCAGAACAACTTAGAAAGACTATTAATTTATTTTTTACTAAATTGTGCATGAAATAAAGTTCAATTTAATATATAAACCATAAAAATAAGTAAGATAATCTTCGAGATATAAAAAGAAGTTTTCAGATATTGTTTTAGGTGATCAAACGTATTCACAGAGCTCTAAATTAAAATTACACTTAAAATTAATACAGCAACACTATTATTCGCTGGACTAACCATAATATAAGTGTCAATTTGACACATAGATCGAAAAAATTGGATTAGGTTGGAAGTTAAAAGTTTCTGATATTGTTGTAGGTTATCAAAGCGTTTTTCGTATATAGCAAAAACTTAGCTTAAAAATAACTTTGTGTCTTTTTTAAATTAACAAAAACATAGTTTAGAGTCTTTTCACTATTTTTCATAAATATTTAAATGCCTTTTTACTCTAATGTCAACTATAACAAAACCCCTACTGTAACATCAACTTATAATAAATATAATGAAGCCCTTTCACAATAACATATATCCATAACACGACATATAGCTAAACAAAAGACATGTAACTTGATCAATCCGTTCACTCTCTCTTCGTACATTCTGATCGCTTTCAAACACACTCCCCGTGCCTACCTGATTGACCGAAAAAGTAGGCCGAATGTAGCATGTGAGTCATGAAGCGGCCTTTTGTAGCCCGAATCTCGGTCGTCTTTTGAATGTGACATTTCACCAGAACGCACAACAAAATCGCGGCCAACACGATTCGCATTATTTTGCGATTGGACGCCTCGAACCGGACTGGTGGAAAGGCATTGTGAAAAGCCAACTGTTCGACGGCCCCAGGGCTTGTGCACTCCCGGGATTGTGGTCGATAAGTCTGATTAAAAGAGACGCTTGTTGATTGTTTAAGGAATGAGTTGTTGTGTCTGCTGATTTACGACACCTTTTTTCGATAAAAGTGTTACATTTCTATTTTTTTGAAGTTTTGTGACAGTAGGGTACAGCGCTTATAACTTTAAATAGTGTGACTAAATGTTACAATAGAGCAAGACTAATATTGCAGCTGGGGCCAAGGCTAGAGTAAGGGCTGAAGAAAAAGCTCTGTTAAGAATTACAGTAAGGGTAAAAGCTAGGCTAAGAACTAGAGTAACTGTAAGATCTAGGTCAAAAACTAGAGTAAGAGTAAAGGCTTGACTACCAACTAGGGTAAAGGGCAAAGGCTAGGCTAAGAACTCTAATAAATGATAGGGGAAAAGTGCAAATACTAAAATAGGCTACGGCTGCGGCTACAATACAAGCTATTTTAGAGGCTATAAAAGAAACTACATTAGGGTCTATAGCTTCTAGTAAAGACTAAGACAGTGGCTAGAATTAAGCTAGGGTAGTATTTGGAGTACTAGCTGGGGTAGATGCTATGATAGGGGATAGGTCTAATATAAAAGCCAAAGCAAGAGTAGAACGTGACAATAATTTGTTTAAAAAACTAATTAAGGTTTTAAAGAAAAAAATTTTTTTTCATTATTTCATAACTTAATTGACTTTCTAGACACACACCAACTAAAGGCTCACTTTAAATTGCATTTGTAATCAAATTATATTTTTTAGGATATTTGAGTTTGAAACTTTTTAAAATTGAGCAAATACTTCTTTTAAACTAATTTTTATTTTTTTCTTACGGTAATATTGCCTACAATAACTTTTACTTCATAGTATTGTTTAAAATTTGCAGAAATACGTACTTGCTTTACTGGCCTTGGTACTTACCCATTTTACTATACTATGTTATATTTCTTTATTAATTCTATTTTATTTTATATTTAATTATGTATACTCACTTATTTTTATTAGATGTTCAATAATAGCCATACAAAACTACTCAATTATTGACATTTATAGCACTTTTTTACAAAAACAACAGTTGTAAATGCACATATCTACAGGGTGTTCCAAGAAAAATGTTAAAAACTAACGAGCTATAATTTTCTTCCCAACAAAGCTACAGATGCAAAATTTGGCATGCTAAAAGTTTAGATCCACAAATTTTTTGTCACACAATTTTGGATTTTTTAAGTGCATACTAAGGGCAGTATGATTTGTTAAAAAATGTTCATTTTCCCTGGAATTACACATATTTTCAGTTAGAAATGCTTTTTTTGGTAAAATTTTCTAAGTTTTTGACAATTTTTTGACTGAAAATGACATTTTTAGCAAAGTTTTTGATTTTCAAACGTCGGCGGAGACTCGGCGGACGCCTAAATTTATCGGTGGAGGCTATAACTTGCTTCAAACATAACGTAGCGACGTGAAACAAAAAGCATTGGTTTTAAAATTATCATCTTCACTGACGCTAAACTTGTTTGAAAATAACTCTAAATTAAAAATTCACAAAAAAAGTTAAATCAAAAGATATTAACGTTCAGAAATAGACGCAGTTTTAAAAAATTTTACTTATGTTCAAAAGTTATGATAAACTCATTTTCTTCAAAAGTTAAACCGCAAATATATCACATGTTGTATCTTGTTAGTTTTTTTGTTATTAAGTAAACTAAAAGATGAAATACGTTAAAATTTTAAAAATTATTTGTGCAATTTACAAAATAAATTTAAAAACATAGTTTCTTTATTAATTTTCTTAGGTTTTTTTAATTTTTTGTGTTTTAAAAACTTTGAAGCCAAGCTCAGTATCAGTGGAGATTGCCCTGATAATTTTAAAACTAATGCATTTTTTTCACGTCGCTACGTTATGTCTGAAGCAAGTTATAGCCTCCGCCGATAAATTTAGGCGTCCGCCGAGTCTCCGCCGACGTTTGAAAATTAAAAACAATGCTAAAAATGTCATTTTCAATCAAAAAATTGTCAAAAACAGAAAAATTTTACCAAAAAAAGCATTTCCAACTGAAAATATGTGTAATTCCGGGGAAAATGAACATATTTTAAAAAATCATACTGCCCTTAGTATGCACTTAAAAAATCCAAAATTGTGTGACAAAAAATTTGTGGTTCCAAACTTTTAGCATGCCAAATTTGGCATCTGTAGCTTTGTTCGGAACAAAATTACAGCTCGTTAGTTTTTAACATTTTTCTTGGAATACCCTGTATATACCTTATATACCTCGTGTTTAGATTACGTATAGTAATATTAACATTGCTGCACGTACCATCGTACCTGTTTTCACTTGCATTCGTGGGGAAAATTGTTTTTGGCTTTCTTTCGCATTTCCTTATTATTCGCCCCGGCTAACATTAGCCCCCTCTAAACAGGCTATAAATGTATTAAGAAGCTGGAGTTGTTTTTGACAAATTTATTTTTAAAAGAAATGACTTTCTTCGTTACTTCAGCTTCATCCACTTTGGGCATATTAAAAGGGTAGAGAGATAAGTGGCGTCGGCTAGTGTTAAGCTTGTTTTATTGGACGGTGTTTAGGGTTGGACACAGGGCAAAGCAGAACATGATAGGGAAGTGAAATGTTTGGTACCAGGCAGGGGTTAACATAGCGCAGGGAAGAGTACGAAAAGTTTTCAATGCCCTCCCTTTGTCCAAAATCCTGCTAATTTTAAGCCTACTTGTAACATTGTACGTTGTTGTAAGTAAGAAAGGGAAAGGAAACGTGGTGAAGGTAAAAGAAACTTACTGAAAAGTCTATTTTAAAAATATTTTTTAAGTTTTGCAACTCGTATAAGAGGAAGGTTCTACCTTTCGGCGCTCATTCAAAGCAACTTGAGTTTTCCAAGACGGTCGGTTGCCAAAAGTTGCTCTGCTTTCCTTTATTATTTTTTTCTCCAAACTTTTTTATTCAAGTTCGGTTGTTGCCAGCTTTACTTTCTCATTACTACTACCCTTCCATGACATTATGGTCTTTCTTATACACCAAAATATAAACGAAGAAATGATTTTTTAAACTTATTGGATATTTCACAAGGAACACTTTGGTGCTGTACTCTAATTACTGAACTTCAATATATTAAAAAACAAGAAGACTGTATTAGTCGAAGACTATTGTAGTTTTTTGTTCAACTTGATATGTTTATGACATTTCAATTATTATGTGCTCAGTGTTTAAAGGCTGGTGTTTTTAATAAATTTTTATTATCTTTATTGTTCGTCTTTTGTACTGGTTATTATAGTTTAAAACTGCAAAATTGTAAATTTTTATTCTACCGTCTCTGGCTGTGTAAGGGTACCCGGCTAACTGATAGAACAAGGTTTAAACTATTTTTTACTCTTTAAACACTCTCTCCAAAAAAAAACAAAATCCATCTACCCCAACCCCCCCCTCCCTCTCCCCCCCCTAAATTCCCCTACACGAAGCCCAAAAACAGAAGCAAGATCTCTTTTTTTCGCGTCACTCCGAAGCCATAGCAGACAACATAACTCGGCCATGATGCGCATACAGTCCAGTCTTTGATGTCTCACTTCTATAAAAAGAGACCCCCGCCTTTCTTATCAACCCCCTCCCCTTCTTTTTCGTTGCGCTCGTCCGAAGACTTGGAAACTTGGCAATGAAGAACGATGGAACGACCCAATCCTCCAAACGTTTTCTTTTAGTTTCTTACTTTTTGCGGGTCAATGTTTCGTGTTTTGAATGTCATTGTAAACATATATGGGTTTTAGGTCGGGTAAATAGGTGTTTTTTAATAAGTTAAGTTAGGGTAAAGATGAGTCTTACAAACGTTTTTGCTGTTTTTTTAAACATTTTAGTTTTTAAAAAGGTTCAAACTAGATGTAGTTTACAACTCGGGGTAACCTACGATTTGTAAGTAACTGTGAAACGTTGAAAATCAGTTAAACGCGGAACTTTTTTAAAGATTGTTTTAAAGCTTTTCCTAAGCATTCATTTGTTCTTCCGGCTATTTTCTCCTTTATTTGGCGAAGACAGAGGGAAGGCTTTGTTGTTAGTTAATGATCGTTAGTTAATGAATCGTGTTTCAAAAAGGGTTTGTGTTTTGATTTGACTTGTTACAACCGTTTGTAAAGGTTTTGGATCAAAGCTTGTTGATCGTTTATCTTTAGTAGGGTTTTAATTGCTTTTATTGTATTTTACGAGGCTTTAAGCTCACATTACAAAAATGACAAGAGCTTTAAGTAAGCAAACTGATGTATGTTTTAACAGACGTATATAGATTACAATTTACTTTATACCAAGTTTATACTACTATCTTTTTACCTACAACTTAAAACGTCTACGACGCGTAACTTCCTTTTTTAGTACTGACAGTTTGTCACATTAATGAAAAAAGTGTTCTGGTCTAGACACATTACATATATCTTTTCCTCAAGAACGTCACAAGCTTTGGTCATGTTACTTTCACTTTACTTTTGGAAAAGTGTCGAAATTGCTAAATGCTATTTGTTACAAATTTTTTAACACATGCATTTCCGAGTTACTTTACACTGTAATTACAACTCTAAGCTGCAAATCTATGTTATTACAGCTTTTTCTACTTGAGCGTGTAGTTTACAATGTGTGGCTATTTTAGGTTTAGGATTTCTGAGTAGTAAATTTTTTGGTATTACATTTTGGCATTATTATTAAGCGCGTGATTACTTTATAAGGTTGCTATATGGATTGTAAAGTTTGTATATGCAAATAATATGGCAATAGGGAGTTTGTTGTCTATAGTAATGGAGTTCTACCAATGAATAACTGACTTTTGCCTTTTTTCGTTGCCTTAACTAGTTATTTGTTACAATAAACAGCCACAACTGTCCTAAAACAAAGCCAAACCAATTTTTTCGAAAATTAATTTTGAAAACATGAAAAAAGCCGT